AACAATGAAAATTTCTGTCTAGAGTTTACTTGTAACAATGAAAATTTCTGTCTAGAGTTTACTTGTAACAATGAAAATTTCTGTCTAGAGTTTACTTGTAACAATGAAAATTTCTGTCTAGAGTTTACTTGTAACAATGAAAATTTCTGTCTAGAGTTTACTTGTAACAATGAAAATTTCTGTCTAGAGTTTACTTGTAACAATGAAAATTTCTGTCTAGAGTTTACTTGTAAAGTATGGAGGTTTCCTGTCTCTGTATTTTTTTCCACTTACACATGGTTGTAATAGAGATGTTGAAGAGACACAGATGTTAATACTATACTAATTTAATACCTTTTTCTTTTTTTTTAAGACTCAAGACCGAGCTCAGAGACATCTGGTGAAAAACAGTTTTATTATTGAACTTTCAGAGGGTCATAGAAAGCTGAGACATTTATTTCTTTTCAATGATGTGATTGTTTGTGCCAAATATAAACCTTCTACTAGGTAAAGAAAAAAAAAGATACTTTTTCGTGAATTGTAAATGTACTAATTTCCTATTAAAACACGTGTATTAAGTAAACCAATCTCTTTTCTGTCAAATGTCAGCTTACTTAGAAAAATCTAATTTTATCTATGAGCCAAATATTAGAATGATACTAATTTTGTTCTTGGTATTATAATAATAATAATAATAATAATACAAAAGGTAAACACATTAAATACCACATTTTTGTGCATAATTGATTATTAATTTTCCTTTTTTGTCACTGTTGTTCCAAGTGCTAGGTGCTGAAGTAGCAGAATGTGATGTAGATGTATTATTAATATTTTTCTAGCTATAAGCCCACACACCTAATATATTTAACTACACTAAAAAAAAAAATGACGTTTCTCTGAATCACTTGAGCTGACAGTGGAGATCAAGATAATAATCAGGTGTGATCTATAATACACTAAAATTAACAAGGTTTGAAATGAAATGTGCTACAAGATACACCTATTAAAACTATTATCTTGTTTAATTGTTGCCTATCTTCTCATTAAACCAAGTTACATCAATTACTTGGATATTTCTTATTACAAGTTATGTTTTATAAAAATATAAAAACAAAATGCCTGACACCAAAGACAGAGAAAGAGAGCCAAGTTAGTATTTATTCATATTGGACCTTAATATCTTAGAATAGACAATCACGTGCTTTATGTATTAACTTCTGATCGAAGCAGTAAAATTTATATTCTTATATTCACAGTGGAACCTTGTAATTCTCTTTTTATATCCTCAGATCAGAGTGAAATAATAAAAAAAGCCCCTAGTACAGACGCCTGGTTAAAACTTTTCTTATTCCATGTTACGGCTAGACAAAAATATGAAAATCTCACCTCCTTTCCCTGATTAATTCTCTCTTCTTTAAGAATCTGATCTCGGACGGTAGAGGCTCGAGTCTTTAGAGTAACAATGTCAACGGATGTACTTTCTTTCACTTCTTCGGCATCTTAAAGTAGTTAGATACCAAAATATCAACTTAGATAATTTTAAGCAGTAAAATTTTATCAATAATGAAGTAATTATGGTATTATGAACACACATATTTTATTCATTTATAAAATGTCAAGCTGTTTCCTTCACTTATCATCTCACATCGACAGTTTTCAATAATATACTATTAACTTTTTTTTTTTTACTAGGTGTGTCTTAGAGAACATCTGCAGAATTCTTAGTATAATCCCTTTTATCAGTTTATCGCCATATTCTTGAAGTACGTGTGTATTATTACAAATACGAAATTCAAAAATTGAAGATCACACTTAGACAACCGTACAGTTTATCAACGTAGCTTTACCTTCTGGATTGAACAAGAGAACTTCCGTCAACGGAATGTACCACTTGACTTCAAACGTAAATTTTTGTCTGAAAAAAAACATTGAACTACTTATCATATTTCGTTTTATTAATTATTCAAGATTACGTGAAAATGACTGGATACAACATAACACTTTAAATAAGATCTTTCACGGACGTACAACAAATTAGGAATTTGTTAAAGCTACACCATAATGGTTTGAACAGTTTGTATAATTCCCAACTTTTGAAAAACAATAATCTTTTATTTAGCATAAAAAAGTAAAAAATAATTTACTGAAAACTAAAAACAACACCCATTAAAACATTAACAAAATTTAATAATGCAGTTTTTTTTTTCTTTTTGTTATTTAAGCATATGGCTTTTTCTAATGACACTCATATAATAAAATGCCAAAAGTTCACAATCTTTAGTCAACTATAATCACAACATGCTTCATTAGTAAAGAAAAATAAATAAAACACCTTGTAAGGGAAATAAGGGCAAAGGCATAATTGTTAGAACCAATAAAATCCCAAGCCCCACTACCATTCTTTGTCTGAAATCATGTATGAGCATGGTAGTTATCCCTAAAACCATTAATAACCAAATGTAATTCATATAGTCACAGAGTAACTATTTTTCAATACAAAATACCCTAACTTTATACACCCATATAGAACTATAATAAAATAACAAGGACTTATTTTCCTTGTTATTTTGTTATAGTTGTCTATGGGTATAAAAGCCACTGAAAATAGTTTAATAATAATTAAGCAATCATCTACCACCCTAAAACAAATAATACATCTACATATAAACAAATTCAGAGTTATGTATGTTAATTCTCCTTTTTTTTATTTATAATTCACACATACATACATACATACATACACACACACACACACAGTAAGTGATAACCACCCAGGTTTTAAAAATATTCAATATATTTTTCATACCATGAGAAACAATCCACTATTTTCTCTGAAACATTATTTTAACTGAGAACAAGTTTTAATTACCTACTTGTAACCACCATCTGGTTCAAATCTAGAACAGGTTGTTTCATCTATATTAAACTAATCATACTGATGAGTTGTCAAATGTACAATACATTTTCATCTTATTGTTTTCTACTATGATACGTGATCACAAAAATGTGTTAGAAACAGTATTTGTAATATATACGATCTAGTTTTCAACCCACATTATAATACTTCCAGTTAAAACACACACACACTACAATACTTAGGCCATGACAGCAATGTTCTAAGCTCATAAATAACCAAAAATACTTACGACTTCTGAAAGCTTCTTTCTATGTTTATCCAGGCTTCGACCTGTGCCCTTTGTTTTCTGAGAAAGGAAACATGTGGTTTAAATTATCTCCAAGTCACACAAGCAGAATAAAAAATTTCATTTTTTCCCTTGTTCATTAAAGATCCTACTCTGTGCATATTTATTAAACCCCCTAACATTTTTATGATAACTCATTCATCAGAACAAAAGAACTTAAGAGCTAACTTCACAAATGTTAGTGACCTCAAGTAAAGGTCAAAGTTCACCCTCATCTCAAACTCCGAGTGAAAAATTCAACACAAGTTAATAACATTCCTCTGCTTCTTGTGTCACAATAAAATATATAATTCTTCTAGTTTAGTTGGGTTTTTTTTTTTAGGGAAGATCCTACGTGGGTAGATAAAATACATAGAGAATGACCAGGATATAACCTGTAAATGTTTAATGGACCAACCCACAAAGGAAAGGATGAAACATATCTTTAAGCATCTACTTTAAAATATTATCAGAAACATTCATAAGAAAAATAAGAGATGTTCTGTTAAAAAAGAAAAAAAATTATATCAAAAAATAATATTTATGCAAAACACAGCTTTTTCACATAGTTATCGATCCAAACTAGTTTAACAAAAGTTAATTTAATAAAATAATCCTCAGTGAATTTCCATCCGTATATTTACGTTATGCATCACAACTTAACAATTACTGATGTAAAAAATTTTAAGTTAAAAACAGCTACAAGGGAGAAGCAGAAATATATTTTTACAGTCAACTAAAAAAATCTTGAAATATAAAACAACCAAACTTTAATCTAATGTTAACACACCACGCATCACTCTCTTATATTTTAAGGGACTGGCAGACCTATTAGTTTGTGAACAGTTCACGACCACTTAGGTAGCTCAAAACTGAATTTCTTCTCAAAATATTTTGTAAGGTTAAGGAATTCATTTATACCCATATGTTGTTTTGGTTGAAATAACTTGAAAGAATTCTTAAAATACAGTAATTTCCCTCACTTTTAGATATTACAAGTAATTTTTTAAAAGTCCGGAAAAATATTTTTTTTAATAGGCTTAATTTTAGGAAAAATTAAGCTCAAGTGTTTGAGTATGATTACAATGCAAAACCTAAAAAAAAAAAAAAACCTAGTTATTAATAATTGCATGACCACAAGTCCAAGGAATTATCCATGTCTGTTATTTCCCAGAAAGCTTGACGAGTCTTTGTATTGGATAAAAGACCAAGTCGGCACTGGATACAGCAGATAAAATGTGGTTGACATGTTGTTACATTCTTCCTTATATTCATTCATAAGATTTTATATGTGCCAGGAAAGTACAAAAAGCATGATTTTAAAAGGAATATTTCTTTGAGGTAATAGCTTCTAAATGCACTTTAGATATTCCATAACCCACGTAATGCCATGAAACATTAGAAACAGCATCCACCATCATCTCTTGTCTGATTGAATAGGGGGATTTGATCATAACTCTAAAATTCTATACAGAGCCAAAAAACATGAGCTCATTTTTGCTGCAACAGATTATGAATCAAGAATTCTTGAAGTCAGTCTGGCAAGTTAGTCACAACACCATGCCCAGCCCATTTTGATATCTTAATAAATGGACTTCATGATGCTAAACAGCATAGGACTTTAACTGAAATGATATATTCACCACTAGAAGTGCCTTGCTCAGTATTACAAAAATGTGGTTTATGTAAGTGATAAAATGACTAACCAAAATTAATTTTACAAAATGTTTCAAATTTAAACTATACAAACTCTGATGTTGGAAGACTTGTCTAATCGTGGTTGATTTGACGAAAGCATAATTTTCATAGCCTTCAATCTTGTTTGGTTATAGAGCCATCAAATAGAAAATTAGACCCTTCTTGCCAAACCAACCTGTCACATCCTCTCTTTCAGGATTTGTCAATAGTTGAATAGTTTTCACTCCCTTTATTCTATCAGTTCAAAATTAGGGATAGTCTTTATGTAGCTTTGCACAAAATTATGAAAGAAGTAAAATATAAACTAGTTCTTGCCCTGCCAGTTTTAATTTAGGAACTGTTGCCCGTGGGGAAGTCTACGCATGCCTTTCTAATTAAGAAATCTTTTGTAGGAAGCGCTAGTAGAATTACATTATCATATGATATTTTTTTCTGAAGTTATAAAATAGTGTGATTTTAAAGTTTCTTTTCAATTAAATTGAATGAGGTTATGATTAAAGTTTCAAATGGGACATTGTAGCAACAACTGAGAGGTATGTGAAAACAGTAACAGTTTAATAACTTTAACCCATTTTTTGGGATATGAATACACTATAGATGCTTACCAGATCGCAACAAGAATGACCCAAGATTAGTCTCCAAATACTACAGAAAGAAACAAAAATATTCATTAGAAAATGAGGTATTTAATTTTGTATCTATAGCATCTATTGATAACAAAAGTAAGAAAAAGACAAGCAGCATTCTTTGGTCATGTGGTGAGGAGAAACGGTTAAGAAACATTTGGTAACAACTGGGAAATTTGTGGGGAAAAGAAGTAGAGGTAGACAGAGAGAGAAGATCCTGGACAGCTTAACAATTTGGCTACACAAAGAGAGGGTGACTGATGTAGTTACAAGTGTCTGGGACCGGGAAAGGTGGAGGGACATGATCGCCTACGCTACAAAACACGGCACTTGATGATGATAATGATCTATAGCATAACAAATAAAAAATCCTCTAATCATAAATGGGCATTTGAGTTATTTCTCAGGGACAATACAAAGTTAGTTTAACATTTTGTCTTCGAGCCAAGATTCTATGTAAATTATGTACCAGTCACATCTAAAAAAGTCACTGTTCACATTATGTTACTCTGATGCAACTTTAGTGTACAGAAATGAATTAAATTATGAAATTAGATAACATGCAAGCAATGAAACAAATTCAGATATTAAAGTTTTTGTGGCAATAAACTAATGACTGTTGCCCTAAAAGAAAGAAATACATATATGTTTTCATTGTTTCCAGAAAATGAAGTTTTTTTATGTTTACATTGACTATGAGGCAAAACCAATTATACCTTTCTGCAAGATGCGATCCAAGTCTGAAGTTCATAAAGACACAGTGATGGAGTTGTTGCCGAGACTACAGAAATAGTTCAAATAAAATATTAAAGAAATTGCAGGATTTATTCCAACATGTTAGAGTGTAACAACAGCTATTGTTTTAGACTTAATAACTCTTTTTACCAAATGTACCAGGTTTTACGATAGTTTTAATAGCACAATGCAAACTTCATCAGTTTCTGTATCAGTAAATTTTAGCAATGATCAGTATAAAGACAAAAAACCAAAAGATGTCAAAAAGATCTACAAGTTACAGTAGACTAAAGGAATAAATAAGACAGGGATACATCTTAACATTTACGTAAAATACACGTTACCAGCTTTAATATCATCAACAAAGTTTTGTAATCCTCACCTGATGCCTGAAGTACGCTGATAGCTTCTGTCCACTGAGATCTGTCAAATTCTGAAGACAAGAAGAAGGTATAGGTTTTGTTGTTTTTATGTCCCACACGAAACACCAGATTTGGAGATGCCAGAACCAACTGAGCTTCCTAATAATAATAACAATAATGACAGACGTCAATAAGAAATATTTTCTAACATGCATTGTAGAAAGTTAGTATCAAATACACAAATGTTAAACAGTTAGTTATAAAAGGTATTTAAAAGCATTTTATCGTGTATACTTACAGCTAGGTAACTGTGT